CCCCCCCCCCCAAGCCTGCAGCCTTCCTTTCAGTGGGGGCCTGTTCCCCCGCTGCCCCCCCCCCCCCCCCCCCCCCCCCCAGAAAGTCGGTGGGGGGGGGGGTTGCAGGCTCTGGTGGTGTTGGGCCGGTGCATGACCCAAGACAGAACAGAGCTGGACCCTGATCTGGTGGCAGGGTTGGGACTGCCGGCCCGGGAAACCTCCTCCCCTCTCCCCCCGCACCCCCCACCAGCCAAGGTTCAAGGGCTCGGGCTTCAAGACGTAGTCTGGGCTTTGCTGTCTGTGAGGTGAGGATCTGGGTCCCATCCAGCTCCAGGCCTGGCCTTATGGGGAGACTTCAGGGACTGTCCCCAGGGTCGCTGGTGGCTGGGCCGGGGCTGCCCCTAGGCTGTGGCCCCTTCTCACACACCTTCTCTCCTCTCTCCACAGCCCGGTGCAGCGCTGGCTTCTGTTTTAACGGCGGTCACTGCGCGCCCAGCTCAGTCCAGCTGTGCCGCTGTCCCCGAGGGTTCCAGGGTCCCCGCTGTCAGTACGGTGAGTGGACGGCCGGGCATTCTCTCATCCCCTCACCCTGCTCCCTGCGGCTCATCTGAAGTTGTTGGGAGGAGGGGGGACCCTGAGACCCCCTTCCTCCACCGATGCCTCCACACCCCTTCATCTTAGAGCCTGTCCAGTTGTGGCCTCCCCTGGAGAGATGGGCAGGGACCGGCCGGGCTACCGGGCGGCCGGGAAGCGGCCCGTCCCAGGGTCTGCAAACGGCATTCCTGCCTTGCTGGAGGCTCCAGCGTCCCCAAAGATGGGGGACAGCCAGGGTCCTATGGGAGGCGACTGGTTCAGTAAAACTGGGCACAGCTGTAAAGTGACGTGTCACGAAAACCCAGCCACGCTACACGCTGTTAAATAGCCGAAACTCAAACGGAGCGAATTTCAGAGATCGAATTGGCTTTAGGAATCGATTCATGAACCGGGCAGAATCCCATATAGCAAGGGGGAGGGGAGCTCCCGGGGGCTACAGAAAGGAAAGGTTTTTAAAGAGAGAGAGAAAGGGCAGGAAAAAGGAGATTGTCAGCCAAGAGCCCTGGCTGCAGGCAAGGGGGGCCTCCTAAGGGGAGCGGAATCTGCCGGTTTGCTTCCTTGTGCCAACCAGGGTTCCCGCGATGACCCCCCCCCCCGCCCCCGGGGCTTTGAGCTGCAGTCAGGTTGTGTCTTGGGTCGTACACTACGTGGTGCCATTTTGGGGGCTGTGGTTTTCCTTTTAACAACGTGCCGTCGGGGTGCGGGGAGGGGGGTTGGGCCTTGGAGCAGACGTGCGGGTGACGGGGTTTCTGTAAGGAAAGTGAGTACAGGTGCGTGAAAACGCGTCACAGGAACCCCCGCAGACATTCATCCTAATCTCTCTGCGACGGATCAGCGAGAGCTCCCCTCTCCGGGGTTTCCTGCTCGGTCCGGGGTGCCTTCATTGAACGTGTAGCTTTCCGGGTCCTGTCGCCACGGGGCGCAGAGCCACGGCCGCCGGGGGAAGTGAAATACTCCCGACGGCTTCCGGTGCTTTGAACTTGCTCCTGGTGAGCGGCTGGGGGCTTCTTTCAGGGCGTTCGTCCTGCACCATGCTTCAATGCTTCGGATGCCCAGCAGGCAGCCAGGGGGGAGGGTGGGCATCAGGAAATTGTAGGGAGGAGGAGGCTCTCTGTTTATAGAGGAGACCCAGCCCTCTCTCTGGTCCCTGCATGTTCACGTGTGGTGGCCCTCCTGCTGTCCCCAGCATGGGCTGAGGGTAGGGGTCCTGGGGAGACAGGTGCCGGTAGCTGAGGGTGCTGACCATTGCACAAGCTGGCGGGTTGGTGGCTTTTCTGATACCCTCTGTTAGCTGGAAGGTTTTCTGCTCAGCCAGCTCCTCAGTCCCGCTGCTTCGTGGGCTCTGTGTGCTGGGAGGACTGATGCCTGGGCCAGGGAGTGAGGCCCGCTGTCTCTCAAGCCCTCTGGGTGCTGGGGGGCCTGCCCTGTGTCCTCTAGGACCCTGAGCCCCTCTGTGGGCTGTGATCCCCCGCCCCAGGCAGGCTGGAGAAAGAGACACATCTTGGTCCTGGGGTGAGCTGGCTTTGGGGCCGTTGCTGGGTCAGGGATGTGATTTACCAAGTCGGCAGCACGGATGCTCTGTGGTCCCTGCCGCGGGGGGAGGGCAGTGAGGGGATGCTGGAGTGTGGCCTGTCTTTGGTCACGTCCTCCAGGAAGCAGCTGGGGACACCTGCCCTGACCCCCTCAGGGCCGGCCTTCCTCCCATGCCCTGCTTCCTGTCAGCCATCAGCCACCCCCGCTCCTGGCCTGACTCTGTCCAGGTGGCCAGCTCCGAGTCTCGAGGGCTGGTGCTCTCTCTGATGAGCAGCCTCCCCCACCCAGAGACCCTGACACTTGGCCTCACAGGGCCAGGGGTGGGGGGCATGAGGCCTGCAGAGGCAGAATGGGGAGGGAGCATCGAGTGGGGGGAGCTCAGCGTCAGCAAGTGACCCTGTGTCCATGGGAGGGGACCTGTCTGGCCAGGACACCTGCTCGGTGGGCTCAGATCCACACACGGGGTCTTAGGGAGGGGGGAGCCGTGCTCACATGCCTTGTCCTCTAGCTTCCGGGCCTGGGCTCTAGGCTTGGCTTTGCCTCCAGAGCAGCCCCCACTCCCTGCGTTCACATCAGGGGGCCTCTCTGGGCCTGGAGACTTGCGCCGTCTCACCGAACCCTCAGTTTATCCACTTGGTGGAAGAGGAAACCGGGATCAGGGAGGCCATGTAGCTGGTCACGTCCCAGCAGAGCTGGGGCAATGGGTGCTTGGAACCTTCCACCGTCTTCCCGCACCAGGCTTCAGTGGGGCCCCGTCAAGACCTGCTTTGGAGAGAGGGGGCAGATCTCCAAGTCCCCACCCAGCCGTGTACACCCTGTGACCAGCCTGAGTCCTCCGGGGTAGGTCGGCTTTCCGGGAGTGGCTGGTCAGGGGTGGGACAGATGTGGCCTTCAGGAAGCAGCAGGTCCAGCTGGAGGGCAGCTGCTGGGCTGCCTCATGAGGCGCCGTCTCCTGGAAGAGAGGCTGGGTGTGCAGAGCCAGCTATGCAGGGCTGGGTGAGGGCTGGGTGTGAGGGCGTGCAGGCTGGGTGTGCAAGGCTTGGTGTGCAGGGGTGGTGTGCAGGCTGAGTGTGGTGCAGGGCTGGGGGTGTAGTGCTGGGTGTGCACAGGTGTGCAGGGCTGGGTGTGCAAGGCTGGGCGTGCAAGGCTGGGTGTGCACAGGTGGGTGTATAGGGCTGGGTGTGTAAAGCTGGGTATGTATAGATGGGTGTGTACGGCTGGGTGTGCATAGGTGGGTGTGCAGGGCTGGGTGTGCCCAGGTGGGTGTGTGGGGCTGGGCGTGCAAGGCTTGGTGTGCCCAGGTGGGTGTGTGGGCTGGCCGTGTAAAGCTGGGTGCGCACAGGTGGGTGCGTAGGGCTGGGTGTGCGAGGCTGGGTGTGCACGGTGGGTGTGCAGGGCCAGGTGGAAGGGCTGGGCCGCCTGCAGGGACAGCCCTTGTCTGTGCTGCTGCCCAAACGTCCACCAGCACCACCTTCCAGTCTCTCCTCCGTCCGGATGAGGCAGACCTGAGCCTCAGCACAGTTGGCAATATTTAACCAACCCCCCAGTTATAATTGCTTCCAGTTTTGAAAATAAAAGCCATATTTTTTCTGGTTCCCCCAAATTCTTTCGTTTGAACAAAAGAGGGGGGAGGAAAGGACCCAGCTGTGTGAGTGGTGGAGCGTGGAGGGGGCGGGGCCCTAGGAAGAGCCCTCCCCCGCCTGCCCCCTCTCCCTGGGGCTGGGGGCCTCGGGGCCCCCGGTGGCTTAGCCCCTTTGTTCCACCTCCACCCCCCCCCATCCCCCCTCCAGAAGGCGGAAGGCTTTCTGCAGGAGCCAGGGGACACAAAGGGGGCCTGTGCGGGCAGAGCCCGGGGTGTGGGGCGGGGTGTGGGGGGCTGGGCCCTGGGCACCCGCAGCAGAGCCCCCACCCCACCCGGCCCAGGCCCTCTGCCGCCAGGGCCAGCTTCGTGTCCCGTAGGTGGGCCAGTGTGACCGCGCACAGCATCCTGGACCCCAGTCACTCCTTCTGTTGGGTGGGGATCAAATGGTGTTTCGTGCAAGTCCCAGGCGCCAGCGCAGGTGAGGCGCAGGGTGTCCCGGTGGAAGAGGCTTGTGGTGGGGGCGGTGCTCTCTCCCCCCAGAGGCCCGGTCTGCTGGGCGTGAGGGCCTGAGGGTAGATGACCGGCTGGCTGGGGACTGTCCCTTGTTCCTGCGGTAACTGTATACACAGCGTGCCTGAGCTTCCGGACGGTGCTGCTCACATGTGGGCCCTCTGGTAGGGACACCCCCCAGGACTGGGGGCCTCCCCGCCCTGGGGGTGAGCTGCATGTCAGCAGAGCAGGGCCAGTAGCTGTCCCTTGTTGGGCTCCGGGGGCCCTGCAGATCCACCAGGAATGTTCTCACCAGCAGAAAACACGGCTTTGTCCCACCCCTACACCCGGCTCACAAGCGCGTGCTCCTGAGTGAGCCAGTACCTGCCGGTGACGCGAGTGCTTCCTGGCCCCGGGCATGGGGTCTTAAGGAAAATACAGGCAAGAAACAGATACGTTTAGGGACACAGCTTGCTTTTGCACTGGGCGTCGTGACCAAGCTGCTGGTCATTTCTTGTGACTCGATCTCACTTGACTTCTTGGGTAAGAAGCAGACTGAGAACTCAGGCCTGGGTTATCTCCAGGTACCTTCTGGGTCCAAGAAGCTTTGGCTTTTGTTCCCTTCTGGGCCTCAGTTTCCTCACCTGTAAAATGGGTGGGTTGGGCAGGTCTCTGAGGCAGTTCTGGGACTCTGGCTCTCGGGTCCAGCTGAGCGATCAGGGCATCAGCACCAAGGCCCAACAGAGCACAGCCCGGAGCGCTTCCTGGAGGAAGAGGGCCTGTGGGCTGGGGAAGGTTTGGGGAGGTGCAGGTGGTTCAGGGTGGGCTTTCCAGGTGGAAGATAGGCTGGAGCAGAGCCGCAGAGAGGAGACAGTGAGCCAGCTTGGCCTGGAGGGCCTGGGCGGGGGGCCGCAGGAGGGTCAGCCTGGAACCCCCAGGGCCCTTAGCCTCCCTCTCTGAGCTGGTGGAAGACCTGCTTCCTGGGGCCACCTGGCAGGTGCCCCTGGGGACCCAGTGTGATCTGTTGCTCTGCCCCCACGCCAACCCAGCAGGGAGAGAAATCAGCGGTCCTGCCTGGAGCCTCTGCGCCCTGACAGTCTGCCTTCTGAGCAGGAAGCCAGCGGATGGGAGACCCCGGAGGCGGCTGTGCAGGGAAACAGAGCTGCCGAGGGTGTGGGGGCAGGAGGCAGGCCTCAAGGGCGACTCTGTTTCTAAATTGGGATGACTGATCAATGGGGAGGAAGCAGGCCCTCCCAGGCCACCCTTCCATGCTGCCCACTGTGTCTGAGGGTGGGAGACTGACCCCCGGCCCGAGGTCCAGACACCATCAAGGGCTGCTCCTGGCCAACCGCTG